AAGCAGCCACTCTTATGGGCTGAATTGTGTTTTCTCAAAATTCATATGTTGAAATCCTCACTTCCAGACCTTAGAATATGACTATAATAGGAGCTAGAACCTTTAAAGAGTTAATTAAAGTAAAAACGAGGTCATGTGGTGTATTCTAATCCAACTGACTGGTGTCTTTATAAGAAGAGGAGATTAGGATACAGACATGCACAGAAGGATGACCATGTGAACATAGAGAAGACGGCCATCTACAAGCTCAGGAGAGAGACTCCAGAAGAAACCAAACCTCCTGACACCTTGATCTTGAACTTCTAGCTTTCAGAACTGTAAAAAATAAATTTCTGTTGTTGAAGCCACTCAATCTGTAAAACTTTGTTATGTCAGCCCTAGCAAATTAATGCAGTCCAGCAATTAAATGTAAATAAACAATGAATAGTTTTTCAGTATGTGTCCCATGCAATATGTGGGACACAGTTACGCTGAAGAGTTATGTGTTGTTTATCTGAAATTCTAACTTAAGTGGGTGTCTTGTGTTTTGTCTGGAAATCTTACACTAACTGGACTTCAGGTTGTGGCTTGCTTATCCCAGGTGATGGGAAGCTCATGCCCTATAATGACCAGTTGTTCTGTTTCTGGCTAGTTTTGCACAAAAGTTCTCCTGTAGCCCTGGCTGGTTTGCTCAGTGGTTAGAGCGCCAGCCTGCAGACCAAAGAGTCTTAGGTTTGATTCTGGTCAAGGGCACATACCTTGGTTGCAGTTCAGTTCCTGGCCCTGGTCAAGCATGTGCAGGAGGCTACCAGTCAGTGTGTCTCTCTCATATTGATGTTTCTCTCTCTCTCCCCCTCCCTCCCTCCTTTCCACTTTATCTGAAAATCAGTGGAAAAATATCCTCGGGTGAGGATTATAAAAAAGTTCTCTCCTGTAGTCCAGGCTGGGGTGGACATGTGACCTAGAGTGACCTAGAGTCTTTTTTTTAAATCCTCACCAGAGGATATTTTTCCATTGATTTTCAGATAGAGTGGAAGGGAGGGAGGGAGGGGGGGGGAGAGAGAGAGAGAGAGAGAGAGAGAGAGAGAGATTGAGAAACATCGATGTGAGAAAGACACATCAATTGGTTGTTTCCCACAGGACCCCAACCAGGGCCCCTGGATCGAACTGCAACCAAGGAGCTGGGGGCACCTATGTCCAACCCTCTCCCCACAGGCTGACGTGCTAACCGCTGAGCAAAACCGTCCAGGAAGTGACCTAGATTCTTTATTCACTTCAGCCACTGTGATTAGTTTAAGGTGGTCATGTGACTTAAGCTCAGCCAATCAGAGTCTTCCCTGGGACTTAGGCTGGAATCCTGGGGGAAAAGAGAGGTTCCTGGTACTGGAAGGTGGTTGGGCTGGGCAAATGGTGAGCTGCTGGATGAGAAGCCACTAGAAAGGTCTCAAATGCCCCTGCTTTATCTGGAGAACTCCTACATAGAACTTCCAAAATGATCCCTTCAATGTCCAACAGAAAGCACTTATTGACTGATTGAATGAATGCAATTTTTCCATGGTGAACACTTATACATCCTTCAAAATCCACTTCAAATTCTCTTTGAGAAGCATCAGAGGACATTTTTTGAGGGAACAGATTTTTTCGTGAACTTCTACACATCCATCAAAATCCTCCTCAGATGTCTCCATAGGGGAATCAGGAAATGTGATTGTTGAATGAATGAATTTTTTTTTCTTGGTAACCTTTGTATTCTTTAAAACATCCTCTGCCCTGGCCAGTTTGGCTCAGCAGTTAGAGCGTCGGCCCGCGGACCAGAGAGTCCCGGATTTGGTTCCCGCTAAGGGCACATACTTTGGTTGCAGTTCATCCCTGGCCTTGGTTGGGGTTGTGCGGGTGGCAACCAGTTGATGTGCCTCTCTCACATTGGTGTTTCTCTCTCTGTTTTCCTCCCTTTCACCCTCCCTCTCTATCTGAAGATAAATGCAAAAAAAATGTCCTCGGGTGAAGATAAAAAAATTTAAATAAAACATCCTCAAATGATCCTCTGTAGGCATCAGAAAGTCCTAGTTGAGTGAATGAAAAATGTTCTTACTGGTAAATGATACCTATTAATGTGTTTGTTAAATAAACTGATAGATTTTCTCCTTGCAAATTCCTACTCATCCATCAACATCCTCCTTAGATACCCCTCAGGGAAATGAGGGTCTCTTGACCACATGGAGGTAAGTAAGCTCAGCCCTCCTCAGACTGAAGGTTACTCTCAACCTGTGGGTTGCGACCCCTTTGGGGGTTGAACGACCCTTTCACAGGGATCGCCTAAGGCCATTGGAAAACACATATTTCCGATGGCAATTCATAACAGTAGCAAAATTACAGTTATGAAGTAGCAAGGAAAATAATGTTATGGTTGGGAGTCACCACAACATGAGGAGCTGTATTAAAGGGTCACGGCACTAGGAAGGTTGGGAATCACTGCTCTAGGGGAAGAAAACAGAAGCCAAAGGGGTGGGGAAATTTTGTGGTTCCTCCTGACAAGATTTCTGATTTCCGGGGGAAATCTAAAACACGCAACCGGATCCTTCCTGACTTCCCCTCCCCCTAGTTTGTGGGGCATCAGAAAGTGGGGCAGCCCTGGGGCCATATCACAGCTGTGCTTCTGGGTCACCTGGTAGGAACCAATAAGGGTTCCACAGGGCTTCCTGGCATAGGCAGCAGGTAGGTCAAGGGAGGGGGAAGGGGTGCGTGCAAAGACTTGGAAGGTGGGCTATAGTGAACCTCTGGGTAAACCTTGGTGTGTGTCCCGATAAGGGTAGAAAGATTCCCTCACGTATGGCTGGGGTCCTGCCCACAAACCCATCATGGCTCCTCAGTGCCCCTGAAAAAATGCCCAGCTTTTTAGTCTGTTACTCCAGGCCCTGGCTCGTCTCACCACCATCATCTTTCCCACAGAGCCCTAGACCCATCATGTTCCCCAAAGCATGTCCCCTGAACTTTGCCTCTGCTGGGAATGCCCTGTAGTATATAAACCAAGAGCTCCTTCCTGCTGTCCTTTGGGTCACTCTCAGATTGCCCATCCCTAATCCCAAGGAGCTGGGGGCACCTATGTCTAACCATCTCTCCAATTCACCTCTCTTTCTCCCTCAGTGATTTTTCAGCAGCTGCTCGGATGTTGTGGGGATGAGAAAGAGGTACGACAAGAGCAAAGGCCAGTGGGGAGGAAGGGTCCCAAAACAACGACTAATTATACTGGTTCTCTAGTGGACAGCATCCTCTTTATACTTCTTGCAACCCATTGTACAGATGGGAAAGCTGAATCCTGGCAGGGTCCACCTTGGTGGGGTGGGAGGTGAGGGGTAGCCTGAGGCATGGGCCTTACTCTTGAAGGGGCAAAGCTCAGCCCCACTGTTGGACTCTGTCTCTTCATTTCTTCACTTCCGGCCCAGGACTCGAGTGGTTGGGACGCCTCTGGGCTCAGTTGCCCCATCTGTGAAATGAGGCATGTGGTGGTGTCTCCTGGGGGGGGGGGTCTCAGGATCATCAAGAGGGGTCCATGGGTTTGCCCAGGTCTCCAACGATCTCTTCCATCTTTATGTTTCTCTCAATCTCTGTCTCTGTCTCTGCCCTTCCCCCCAGGCCTCACACATCAGTCCTGAAATCCACTTCACCCGCCTAGGCCTGGCCTGGGCCCCGCTGCACTGCTGGTGACACTGTGTGGGGTCACTGGGTCCCCGTCCCCACTGTGCCAGGCCTGGAACACTGCCTCATTGTTCCCATGGCTCTGACCTCATGGCCTGCTGGATGCCTGACCCTGGCTAGCCCAGCTGCCCCTCGGGACTGGGATGTTCAAAAGAGAGGCCTCCTTTCTGCCCACCTGGGCCTCAGTTTTCCCTGCAAAGACCCTTCCTCTGTTCCTCAGTCTCATGGGCTTCATGAACATTTTTTTAAAACTGAAAATCACATAACATAAAACAAACCATTTGAAAATGTATAATTCAGTGGCATTTAGCCCATTCACTATGTTGTACAACAAGCACCTCTATCTATTCCAGAACATTGCATTGCCACAAAAGAATACCCTGTCCCCCTGAGCACTCAGTCCCTCCCCCTCCTCCCCCAGTCCATGACAACCACTAATCTACTTTCTGTCTCTATGTTTTCGTCTGTTCTGGTCATTTCATATCAATATGTGGGCTTTTGTGTCTGGCTTCTGTCACTAAATGTCATGTTTTTGAGGCACATCCATGTTGTGGCATGAATCTTCTTCATGGACATTTTGGGCCTTTGTTGACAGTGGGGAGAGAGGGTGAAACGCTGAGGCCCCAGGGGCCAGGAAACAGACACAGAGGAAAGACTAATTCGAGCCCAGAGGAAGCAAGGAGACTCCTCAGGAGCTGAGACCTAGCGTGCCCCGAGGCTAGAGTTTGGGAAATGAGGAGGTGGGCATTTTGGGGGGCTCAGTGTACAGCAAGCACCTCATAACAATTTGTTGGGAGGGTAGCCTCAGTCATCCACAGACACTGGGCTCCCATTCAACTTCTGAGTCCCAGAGGTTGTCCAGAGAGGTCTAGAGACCTGGCCAAGGACTCAGAGCTCAGGCCACCCAGGGGACTAGCACTTGGTGTCCAGCTTGGGTCTGGGGCCAGCAGAACAGAGTTCCAGACCAGAAACCCTGGGTCTGACTTGCCCGGCAAGTGAGCTGTGGCTGGCATGAGGCCACCACTACCACCGAGCTGACTTCCTGGGTTTCTCTTTCACTTTGACTTGCCCGGGAGGGGCCATGATACTTAACTTAAAAAAAAAAAAGTTTTGTCTTCTTTCGTACTCAGCTTCAAAGTGTTCTGGGTGAGAACAGGACAGTTGGGTCTCACTAGCGGCACAAAAGCTCTTCTGAGGCTACAGGCCCCTGAGTGGACCGGATGGAACAGCGAGTGGCCAGGCTGGTCCCCCTCCTCCTCTTCCTGCTCCCTGGGCAGTGGGGTGAGTTTTCCACTCTGGTGCCACTACTTTTCTTGCTGGGGAACATGGGTGCGGAGGGCCAAGGACCTGAGTTCCAGGGTTGGTTTTGTGTCTCTGTGCCTTTCTTTCTCTGTTATATGAATGATCAGTGATCATGGCTTGAGATCAGACTTGGGCATCTCTCTTCCAGTCTTGATTTTGTCTCATGTAGAATGGGCTGGATATTTGAATCTTTCCCACCTCCCATAGTTCAATGCGAAATAACTAAGGAAGAGATAACGAGCCAGTATATACACGATAGATATACCTAGCATAGTATTGTATATTATATATACTCTCTTTCCATCTTGTGGAATTGGGTGGGAAGGGGTTCAACTTCCTGTGGATGACTGGGTTTGGACTCTTATTCCAGCTCTGCTGTTGCTGCTGTGTGACCTTGGTCAACTTTTTGCCTCTTTGTGCCTCAGTTTTCCTCTCTGTAAACTGGGTATTATCAAGGTTTCAGGGCCTCTGGGTGTCAGGCAGGAGACCAGGGGAACCTGGATTGCTTTGGAGGAGCAGCCCAAGAGATTGATGGATGGATGAAATGAGTCAATAGGGAGATGGATGGATGGAAAAATGGATAGAAGGATGGGTGGATGAGTGGGTGGGTTGGGTGAGTGGGTGTATAGATGGAAAAGTGGGCGAGGGGGTAGACGGTCACTTGGGTAGCCCCCAAGCTGAGCCCCTCTCCCCATGCAGTGAAAGACTGGGACTGTCATTATCTCTTCGTTGTCTTTACAGCTGAAGCCTGTGGTACCAGCGGGTGCTGTTTTCAGGACCCGCCATATCAGAATGCAGACTCAGGTTGGGACAATTTCCCATTGGGGTCCTTCCCAGCTCTGACTGACAAATCCTTAGAAGCCCCTCCCTTAGCTACCCCCTGCCCAGTCAAAGACTTGGGCTCACTTGGTGTCTTGGGAGCCCCTACTTCACAGCCCACCAGCTTGGCCTCACCAAGCTCCGGGGTCCTGGAGCAGTGACCCTCTCTGAGCCTCATCTTCTCCCTAGCAGGGCCACAGGGCTGGTGTCTGCCTCTGTTCAGATCGATCCGCATGTGGGGCAGGGTATCTGTTAAATATTTTGATTTTTTTTTATCCTCACCTGAGGACTTTTTTCCATTTTTTGTTCAGATAGAGTGGGAGGGAGAGAGAGAAAGAGAAGAGAGAGAGAGAGAGAGAGAGAGAGAGAGAGAGAGAGAGAGAGAGAGAGAAGCATCAATGTGAAAGGGACACATCGAGTGGCTGCCTCCTGCATGCACGACCCAACCAGGGCTGGGGACAAACTGCAACTGGGGTACGTGCCCTTAGTGGGAACCAAACCCAGGTTTCTCAGGACTGCAGGTCGACGCTCTAACCACTGAGCAAAACCGGCCAGGGCAATATTTTGAATTTTTAATCCCCACCTGGGCAGGCATTGCTGGAATATTTAGGCTTGCAATGCACCCACTAAGGTTCTGCCCCTGAGCAGGTGCGTCATCTGTTCTTTTGTTCAAGAAATATTTGCTGAGCACTTAATATGTGCACACACAGTCCTAGACATGAAGGAATCAGCTGCAAACCCAACTGTCCTCCTGGGGTTGCAGCCTCGTGCGGGAGGTAGACCACAGATTAATACATGCATATACTGCCTACAGTGACATGCACAGAGCAGGATGAGGGATGGAGAGGGAGGGGGCTGCTTCTTGTTGGCTTCTGGTTGGCTGGTTGTGTGAAACTGAAGGAAAAACTGGAATGTCAAGATCTGGGGGTAGGCACAGCACATGCAAAGGCCCTTTGGTGGGAGTGAGCCTGGTGTGTGTGAGGGCCCATGAGGAGGCTGGTGTGGCTGGAGCAGGGTGAGCATGGGAGATGGCAGGAGAGGAATGAAAGGCACAGGAGGGTGATGGGAGCTGTTCAGACTGTGGAGACGCCGGAATACATAAATGTCACAAAGATTCATCTTGAGGATGTGTCAGCCCAGAGACCCCTCCCAACTCTGGTCTGTTCTCAAACCTCCAGGATTTCCTCCAAGCTCAGCCTCGGGTCCCAGAGACCTGAACTGCTACCGGATATTTGGTGCCAATTATGAATGCTCCTGGGAGTATGAGGGTCCTGCAGCTGGGGTCAGCCACTTCCTGAGGTGCTGGTGAGGAACCCTCCCCAAACCCTAACCCACATCCTGCCCTTGCTCCTGACCCAGTTCTGTACCCTTAGATGTGTGATTGAAGCCCAGGGCTGGTTCTTGCCTCTTCCTGGAACTCAGTTTCTCATGTGAGCAGGGGCGATGGGGAGCTCCGTGTGGTGAGGGGTCAGCTTAGGTAGGCAGTCAGATTGGGCAGCAATCTAGTCCTTCCTTCACCCTCCCATGATCTGTTTGTTCATTCATCCATTCATCCATCAATTCATTTCTTCCTTCTCCTTGTGAAAGCTCATGTTGGGAGATTTGGGGTCTCACAAGCCCCTCAATCCCAGGCTGTTCTCCAAGGAACCCTTAGTTTAGGGAGGGGGAGCCAAAAAAGCAGAGAAAGATGCAGGGATGTGATGCATACTGTCTGCTGTGGCTGAGACATTTCTGGGACCCACTAGGACCCCAGATTAAGTATCAACACCCTCCTTCCTACAGCCTCAGTCCCAGGAACTGCTGCTACTTCTCTGTGGGCTCAGCCACCAAGCTGCAGTTCTCTGAACAGGACCGTGTACCTGTGCTCCACGATGTCACTCTCTGGGTGGAATCCTGGGCCGCCAACCGGACAGAGAAGTCGCCCAAGGTTACCCTGAAGCTATACAGCTCCGGTCAGTATCCTCTTCCCCTACCTCCTCCTCCTGGCTGCCCTTTTCTCACCCAGAGATGCATCTGGTCCCCAGACTTGGGGGGATTCTGGGCCCCTACCAAGGGGCTTGAAAATTCTAGTCATTTATACATCAAACACTGTTGTGTGATTGGCAGAGTCTTTCATGGTTCCCTTACCTGTCCCCTACTGATGGACATTTAAGTTGCTTTTGGTTTCTCCCTGACACTGTAATGGTGTGAGAATCCTGTTGGTTTTTTTAACTGTTTTCATGAGTCAACAACATGCATTTAACATATAGTCATTGAGCTGCTACTGTGTAGGGGCCATAGGCAAAGCCAATGAAATAGTCGCAGACTGGGGCTGGGACTAGAATGATGCCAGTGAGGCATCACCTTGTGTGTACAATTTTAAGGGGGTGCTGAAAAACCTCTCAGTGGTTAATAAAAACAACATTGTAACTCAATATTTTTAAAAATCAAAATTAATGTAAAATCCATGATGAACAAAATAGCAAAATTTGAAATAAAGTCAGGATCCAACTCTGTATTTGTATGACCTTGCCTCACTTGCCTCACCCTAATCCTGGCCCTGCCTCTGCCTTCATGGAGCCCAGATTCAAGTGAGGGTGATGGATGAGACATGATCAATACACATGATGAGATACTGCTTGGAGGTCAAGGTGATGCCTCCAGCTCAAACTGAGTCCTGAAGGATAAATGAATCCAGCAGGAAGAAAGGTGGGGAAGTGTGTTCCAGATAGAGAAATGTGTGCCACAGCAAGTGCAAAGGCCCTGAGGTAGAATCAGGTATGACACCATGATTGATATGTCTTCTTTGGTCAGGCTCCTTGAAGTGGGTCTAAAAAATTAGTAAGATTTCCCTAAAAATCATCCAGAAAATAGAATCAGTTAATTACTCTCTTGTCAGCAATGGGCAAAAGTGCCTACCCCACCACAACCTTGTCAGCAATGGGTGTTATATTTTAAAGATCTCTTCACTAACAGGATCCTGTGTATAAATTTTGACCCCTAGAATTCCAGGCATAGGTAGGAACTTCACGAGTGCCCCTGATTCATGTTTGGGGGACTTGGTTGGCTATCTGGGCTGGGTGAGGTATGGGCAGAGTTTCTAGAATTTTGGGGACCGACAACTCACACAAATGTCAGCTTCCCCTCCTCAACCTCCACCTCTGCTTCCAGTTAAATACGACCCTCCTCAGCCAGAAGACATCAAAGTGTCACGGTTAGCAGGGCAGTTGTGCCTGGAGTGGGAGACCCCAGTCCGCAAGGATGGAGCTGAGGTGCAGTTCCGGCACCGGACACCTGGCAGTTCGTGGAAGTTGGTTAGTTTGTTTCCCAGGTCAGGGGTGGTAGGCACAGGGCTCTTCCAGGGCACTTCCTCCCCTAAATCAGAGTTACTATCTCTGCATCTGTTACCCCTCCTACCTGGCCTCCACTCTTGCCCCACGTCTAGCCTCTGAGCTTTCTCTGACATGCAGCTCTAATTATTCACACACCCTCCATGGCTCCCTAATATCCCCAGGAGGGCACCCCTGTGCTTAGCCAGCCCTAGGTGCCCTCACTTGCCTCATGCTTCCTCTGGCACCCTCCCGAATGGCCATCATTTCCTACCCATGCCCTGGATTTCCAACCTTCTTGCCTTTGCACATGAAGCTTCCTCCACTTGCTTGACCCGTCTCTCCATATGAGCTCCTGTGAATCCAGCTCAAGGGCCACCTCTTCCGGGAAGCTGCCCTTCCACTCATTCCTTCTCCTTTCCCTGCCTCCCTTCCTTCTTTTTCAAAAATTGAGATATGCCATGGCTGGTGTGGCTCAGTGGTGAGAGTGTCCTCCCGCACACTGAAGGGTCACATACCCAGTCAGGGCACATACCCAGATTGCCGATTTGATCCCCATTCGGGACACGTGTGTGAGGCAACCAATCAATGTTTCTCTCTCTCTCCCTCTTCCTCTCTAGAATCAATGAAAAAATATCCTCAAGTGACGATTACAAAAATTAAGATATAATTGACATATAACATTATACTAGTTTTAGGTGTATAACATAATAATTAATTATTGGTACATATTGCAAAATGATCACCACAATAAATCTAATTAACTTCTGACACCACACATAGTTACAGATTTTCTTTAACTTGTGATGAGAACCTTTTTAAAAATATTTTTTTTATTTATTGATTTTAGAGAGAGAGGAAAAGAGAGAGAGAGAGAGACATAGAAACATTGATGAGAGAGAACACTGATTGGCCGGCTGCCTCCTGCATGCCCCCCACTGGGGATCAGGCCCACAACCTGGGCATGGACCCTGACCGGGAATCGAACCGGCAACCTCTTGGTGCATGGGTCAATGCTCAACCATTGAGCCACACCAATTGGGCCTAAAATAATTTTTTAGGAAATTATAAAATAAATTTTGTCTCCTAAAGTAATTCTTTTATATAAACGTTTAATTTTGGAGTAATCTTAGATTTTCAAAGAAGTTACAAAGAAATACCAAGAGCTCCCATAGAACCTTCCCCAGCTTCCTTCCTGTTCAAGACTTCCATCCCTGACTGAGATGCACAGGGTACATTACTATGAACTAAACTCCAGAGCTTATTGGATGTCACTCATTTTTCCAAGAATGTCTTCTTTTTGCTCTTGGATTCGTTCCAGGGTTTCATATTGCACTTAGTAAAATAATATTTTTAAATAAAATATTAATAATAAAAGAATAATATTTTACTAATAATATTAAAGCTAATATTTTTCAACACCAAAATGTAAAACAATATATAAATATGATCTCATCCTAGGGTGACTGTGGACATCAGGATGATGCTGGCTTTGGTGAGAATAAGAATAGTAAAAGCAACAGCTGCAGCAAAGTATCATTAATCAAGCACCTACTGTGTGCCAGGCCAAATTCTTTGTATACCTGTTGGCCTGCCCTGTGGTTCTATATTGGATTATTTCCACTTTACAGGTGAGGAAACAAAGACCAGGGAGGTGGAGTAAGAAGCCATAGGCCAAAGTCACATTTCAAGGAATGGTCTTGCTGGGACTTGAACCAGGGACAGGGGAAGAAGTAGATGATCCTTGAGGCACCAAGAGGACAGGCCCTGGCCCGTTCCTGCCATGTCCTCAAGGCCAGGCACATAGTTGGCTCTTAGAAAGTACCTGTATACAATTGGCACCCAATAAATGCATGCACACACTTGGCACTCAATAAGTGCACAATGGCTAAGTGTGCATATGCCCCTTGCACCCCAAGATGTTGGACATTCCCTTGGCCTGATGTTTGATCTGTTTTCCCTAGAGTCATGCCTCTGCCCGCTGGAGATAAACGAAGCCCAGGAATTCCAGCTAAGGCGGCGGCAGCTTGGGCCAGGGGCCCAGAATGGTCCCTGGAGCAGCTGGAGCAGCCCCGTGTGTGTCCCCCCTGGTAAGAGTGCCCAGAGCCACAGGAATAGGAGCAGGCATTAGAAATATGGCAGTGGGCCCTAGATGGTTTGGCTCAGTGGTAGAGCATCGGCCTATGGACCAAAGAGTCGCGGGTTTGATTCCAGTCAAGGGCACGTACCTGGGTTACAGTTTGTCACCGGCCCTGGTCAGGGTCATGCGGGAGGCAGCCAGTTGATGTGTCGCTCTCACATCGATGTTTCTCTCTCTCTCCCTCCCACTCTATCTGAAGATAAATAGAAAAATATCCTCAGGAGAGGATTAAAAACAAGAAGAAGAAGAAATATGGCAGCGGGTATTAGAACTAAGGTGGCAAGTGTTAGAAGCAAGATGACAGGTTTTGAAATGAGGCAGTAGGAGAAATTAGTGAATATTATTAACAGGTGGCAATGAACAAGTTTCATTGTGTAAATTCTGATGAATCCATAATCTAAAAAGAAACATTTGTCAGTTTTCCTCTCCTTCCAATTTGTTTGGTTGGTTTTGTTTTTTAAAGTCACACAAAGAGCTGACAGGTGAAATTGGCTGTGTCAGGAAGATATTTTCCCAAATAACATATTAAGCTGGAGCCTGGGCAGCTCAGGACAGATGTGGCCCCGGGGGTGGAGCGGGGCCGGGGGCAGGGAGTGTGGGATGGGGTGATTGTCAACATCTGTCGCCAGCCCTGCCATCTGGGGCCTCCTCCTTCCCAATGGCATATCTGCTGGGGAAGAACTCTTAAGAGTTGTTTTCGGATTTTTCTTTAAGTTGTGGTAAAGAACACAACATAAAATGTACCATTTTATACATTTTTAAGTGTCGAATTCTATCATATTAAGTATATTTATATTGTGGAACATATGTCTGTGTTTTCAGATTTGGAAAAGTATTTAAGAACCCATGTAATCCTGTGTTTCGTGGGAGGGAAGGAAAATGTCCCAGGTCCCCATCCAAGGTTTGCGGAAGGTTGTGAGACAGGGCAACTCCCACCTCAGCATCACTGTCTTACTGTCTCATGACAGAGCCCCCCCCACAGCCCAACGTGTCATTCTTGGTGAAGCCGCTTGGCCCGGATGGGAGGAGGCAAGTGACCCTGCAGAGGCAGGTAATGGTCGTGCAGGGCTGTGTGGTGCATGCCCTGCGGAGAAGGAGACGAGAGACTGGCAGGGGAAGGGGGCGGGGTTCTGCACAAGTGGGAGATGGAGGTGGCAGGGCCTGGGAGGACTGTGGGTTTAACTCTGAGCGTACTGGGGAACCATGGAAAGTATGTGCGCAGAGGAGGGATATGGCTGCTTTCAGGAGTTCATTGGCTCCCACTGGCTTCCATCAGGGGAACAGATTGTAGGGGGTTGTGGTGGACACTGGAAAGCCAGGAAGGGGTCAATTGTGTTGGTCTGGGCAGGAGATGATTTAAGTCCTCCAAACAGCCCATTTAGTACAGTCTAATTAACCCCATTTTACAGAGAAGGAAACTGAGGCACAGAGGGACAATTTCTTATTTGCCTTGGCTGGTGTGGCTCAGTTGGTTGGAGCGTTGTCCCATACACCAAAAGGTTACAGGTTCGATCCTCGGTTGGGGCACATATGGAAGGCAACTGATCAGTGTTTCTCTCTCACATGGATGTTTCTCTCTTTGTCTCCCTTCCCCTGTCTCTAAAATCAATAAACATATCCTAGGTTGAGGATTAAAAAAAAAAATTCTTACCTGAGTCAGAGCCAAAAGCACAACAAATTTCACCATACCTGACTCAGCCAGGTCCCCAGGGGGCCATTACAATGTCTACATGGAAGTTCCTTTGCTTCCAAGCTCTTCTCTCATTTTAATTTTTTTCCTTAAAAAAACTTTCCAGGGTTGCCCTGGCCCATTTGGCTCAGCGATTAGAGCCTTGGTCCGCAGACCAGAGAGGCCCGGGTTCGGTTCCCGCTAAAGGCACGCACTTGGTTGCAGTTTGTCCCAGACCCTGGTTGGAGTCATGTGGGTGGCAACTAGTTGATGTGTCTCTCTCACATCAATCTTTCTCTCTCTCTCTTCCCCCCTCTCTCCCTCCTGCTCTATCTTAAAATAAATGCAAAAAAATGTCCTCGGGTGAGGATAAAAAAAAAAAATTTCAGGGTTGAGGTCACTGGGTCCAAAAATGGAAACTTTTTTCTCCTGGCTCTCAGTGGATTTTGTCAAATTACCCCCACACACACACACACACATAAAAACAAAACAAAACAATAACAACAACAAACAAACAAAACTGTGAATTGGACATGAATGACAGTTTCCCAGCAGCCTTGTTAGCATTGAGGTTTATTTTTATTTTATTTAATTTTTTAATCTTCACCCAAGGATATTTTTCTATTTATCTTCAGATAGAGTGGAAAAGAGAGAGAGAGGGAGAGAGAGAGACAGAAACATCGATGTGAGAGGAACACATGGACTGGTTGCCTCCTGCAGGACCCCAACCAGGGACAAACTGCAACCGAGTCATGTGCCCTTGACCGAATCGAACCCACGACTCTTTGGTCCGCAGGCTGATGCTCTAACCGCTGAGCCAAACTGGTCAGGGCAAGGTTTATTATTTAAAAATTTTTTGGCATATGTTATAGGCTGTGGTCCATGGATGAGTCTATGTTCATGGGCTGTGCCCTGATATCTTCCCACGAGGACAATGAACATGTTAAGGTCCCCACAAGCCGTCTCTCCCACTCATGACAGCTACCCCAGCTCCAACTCCCAGAAGGCTGCCGTGAGTCCAAGTCTGGCGCAGAGGTGACCTACCATCTCCATCTGCACATGCTGTCCTGTACCTGTAAGGCCCAGGCAAGGAGGACCCTGCGTCTGAACAAAACACTCAACCTCTCTGGTGCTGCCTACGACCTGGCTGTTATCTCCCAAAATCGCTTTGGCCATGGCCCCAACCAGTCGTGGCACATTCCTGCCCACACACACACAGGTGACTGCTCCAGCTGCGGAGGGTCGAGGGAGGGCCCCTGGAGCTGGGCACCTATTCTGAGATTCAGCTAGACGGGGGTGAGTTGGGTGAGGCACAACATTTCAAGGGGGTGTCTAATTTAGAGCTGTGTCAAAAGTCAGTAATTAAGATACATCATGTTGTAATGCAATATTCTTTTAAGTTCTCGCCAACAAACTACAGACCAGGCTATCTGTTTTGTAAATGAAATTTTATTGGGACAAGGACTAGGATCAGGTGTGGTGAATGAGTCAGGTTTATGCAAGTATAGGGTTGATTCTATCTTAATTTAAAATATTGATATTTTGTTTTATATAACATACTATATAAATATTAAGTATATACATGTATTTATATATAAAATTTAAAAATCAAGATTTAAATTGCCCTGGCCAAGTGGCTCAGTTGGTTTGAGTGTCATCCCATACACCAAAAGGTTTCAGGTTTGATTCCCAGTCATGGCACACACCTAGGTTTGAGGTTAGATCCCTGGTCAGGGCACATATGGGGCTCCATTGATTGAGGCTTCTCTCTCACACCAATGTTTCTCTCTTAAAAAAAAATAACTGAGCCCTGGCCGGTTTGGCTCAGCGGTTAGAGCATCAGCCTGCGGTCCACAGAGACCCGGGTTCGGTTCCCGCTAAGGGCATGTACCTTGGCTGCAGTTTGTCCCCGGCCCTGGTTGGGTCGTGTGGGTGGCGGCCACTCGATGTGTCCCTTTCACATCGATGTTTCTCTCGCTTCCTCTCTCTCCTTCCCGCTCTATCTGAGTAAAAAATGGAAAAATGTCCTCGGGTGAGGATAAAAAAAAAAAAATAACTGAAAATATATCCTTAGGTGAGGATTTTAAAAAATTAAGATTTATGTGTGTGTGTGTTTGTGTGTCTGTGTGTTTTATTGAGGTGAAATTGACATAACACAATTAACCATTTTAACATGTGCAATCCAGTGGTATTTAGTTGTACAACCACTACCTCTAATCCCAGAACATGTCCATCACCCCAAAAAGAAACCACATCCTCATTGGTAGTCATTCTCCATTCCCCATCCCCCAGCCCCTGGCAACCACTAATCTACTTTCTGTCGCTGTGGATTTGCCTGTTTGGGGCATTTCATATAAATGGAATCGCATACTACATGACCTTTTGTATCTGGCTTCTCTCACTCCGCATGATGTTTTCAGGTTCATCCACGTTGCAGTGTGGGCCTGTGCTTCACTCCTTTTTATGGCTGAGGAATAGTCCACTATATGGATGGACCACATTTTGTTTATCTTTTTATTCACTGATCAATTGTTGGGCTGTTTCCACCTTTTAGTGGTAAAGCATAGTGCTCATCAAATATTTTTGCATTCATTTTGATTTTTTTTTAAAGATTGCATCCAGACAGTGTTTATCTTGATGACTGAGTTCTCCCCCTTTCCTCCTTAAATTCCATGCCTGAGATGGGTACCTCGCTCGTCTCAGCCTGGCCCTGGCCGTGTAGGGCACTAAAAAACCCTGGGAGGGCAGAGCTGCTGCAATGATGCCCATTTCAGAGCTGAGACAACCGAGGCTCAGACAGGTGAAGTCACTAGCCCGGTGGCAGAGCAGTGTGTCTGCCAACCGCTGGCCTGGTTTGAGCCATGGCCTCACTGTGACCTTGGGCTGGTGACTCCCTCTCTGAACCTCAGTTTCTGTATCATTGGGGAGATCATGGTTTCACTGCGTAGCACAGTGGTGCGTGTAAAGCACTGGGCACTGGCCTGGAGTGTATAGTCGGTGCTTGGAAGCAGCACGCACCTCTCAGAGGGAAGGGGAAGGTGCGCCCAGGGGACTAAGTGAGTGTGTTCTCAGCCTCTGTGCCCTGGTCATGCCCCACCCACTGCTGGGTGAGGTGGGTGGGGGCTGGCTGGGCACCTGCCTGCTGGAGCAGGGGACACCCACCAGGCTGGTGCAGGGAGTATGTCAGTCCAGGTGGCTCCGATGGGGATGTCCTGGCACGGGACCCTTGGCCAGGCTGTGGGAGGGCTCAACTCATTCAAACAGCCCCTTTGTCTCCTCTGTGCCCAGCCTCCCACCCTGCAGCTCCTAGTTTGGGGAGACAGAGACACAGACACTCTGGGCCCCGTAGAGTAGAGCTGGGTGGGAAGGGCCTTCAGGAGCCATGGTGGGGGTGGGCGTGGGGGCAGAATGAAGCAGCTGTCCTGATGTGCCTCCCTGTCTTCTTCCAGAACCAGGAGCTCTGAATATCAGTGTTGGAGCCAACGGGACCACTATGAGTTGGGCGGCCCGGGCCCCGGGCCTGACATACTGTATTGAGTGGCAGCCCCAGGGCCAGGATAAGAGCCCTGCCAACTGCATCCTGACTGCGCCCAAAGACCAGGCTTCTGCTGGAACTGGTACTGTGATGGTGGTTGCACTCTGTCTGCCCCTGCACCCTCCATCAGAGCTCCTGGTGGGCTCAGGCCTACAAGGACTATACATGTAGGGTGCCTGAGGTCTAGAGAGGTCTTGCCACTTGAATCACACAGAAGTGGGGACAGGCTGAGAATTGTCCCCCACCCCATACAGGCTAGAGCCTCCTGCTGGGAACCTGGGGTGACAGGGCTTAGCCCTGGGCAGATGGCACCCAGGCAGGTAATGAGTCTAACATTCCAGGGTGTTTCTTTAACATTCACCCTCATTAAAGAAGGTGGCAGCTGGCAAGATGCTGGTGGCAAAGTGATGAGGCCTCTGGAGGAGAAGAGAGGGTGCCATATGGCCCAGGCAGCCTTTCATGCTCCCACTTCTTACCCTGGGTCTGGTCAGGGCCACAGGAAGCTTTAGCCTCAATCTGTTCCTCAAAGAACTCCCAGCCTGGGGAGAGAGAGGTGGGTACAGATACCCTGCCCATGGAGTAATGGCTGGGCTGGAGGAATTAGGGGTGGGATGGGGGCACAGGGAAGGGATCCTGGAGTAGAGGACATTGGTGCAAAGGCTCGGAAGTATAAGTAGGAGTGCTCTAGGAGTTCCTTGCAGATGGCACAGCCACTGGGCTCTGCCCCTGGACCCCAACTCACCCATGCGGAAGGTGCAGAGGTGGGAACACAAACTATTTACTGGCCTGGCCCTTGCTAATCCTTCCAGCAACTCACCACTGGAGTCGAGCTTCTGGGGCAATGAGGCAGCAGGCATGTTACCACATCACCATCTTTTCCTCTGCGCGACCAGAGAAGCCCACCTCATGGTCCACAGTCCTGTCCACCTACCACTTTGGGGGTAATGGTGAGTGGCCCAAACTTGCAGGGTGGTCTCCCGGGAGGACTCAGCAGTGGCCTTAGGAGTCAGGAGGAGGGAATAAGCATGTAGAGGTATTTACTGATGCTGGGCCCTAGCCAGAAGCCAGACATGTAGCGTGAGTTCAGTCAACTCCTAAGACACCCTCAGAGGCATCGCTCCATTCTATAGATAAGGAAACTGAGGATCAGAGAGGGGCAGTGGCAGCGTCTGAGTGGTGGAGCTGGGATTCTGTGGCCAGGGTGACCTGGACAGGGCTGGGATGGAAGTGCTTGGCTAGAGCTCTCGGAGTTGACCACAGCAATGGTGCTGGTTGCAGCCTCAGAGGCTGGGAGCCCACAGCACGTGTCAGTCAAGATGCTCAGCCCGGACTTGGTGTCTGTGGACTGGGTGCCATCTCTGCTGAGCACCTGCCCCGGCGTCCTAAAGAAGTACGTCGTACGCTACTGGGATGAGGACAACAACCAGGTGACTGGTATGTGGGGTAGCACAGGCCTAGCTGGGGGAGTCCTGGGCTTGAGTCCTGCCTTGCAGTGTGACCCTGGATACCTCATTGCCCCTCTCTGGGCCTTGATTTGCCTATAACACAAGATAGTTGGACTCAAGGGTCCTGGCTATCCCTTCTGAACCGCCGGGGAGGGCCAAGTGCTCACAATGTGCCAGGTGCGTGGATGGCAACCCTTTACTCATATCAGCAACTCCACTCCCATGGTGTGAGAGCCCAGCTGGGTGGGACCAGGGACATCCTGCTGCTAGAGCCCAGCCTCCTGGGACTAAAGGAGATCCATAGAGCATGGTCGCCTCCCTCTGCAGAGCTGCCTGTGAACTCCACAGAGACCCAGGTCACCCTTGGTGGCCTGCATGCTGGCACAGCCTACAGCGTGCAGGTGCGAGCAGACACTGCGACACTGAGGGGTGCCTGGAGCCAGCCTCAGCGCTTCCGCTTCCCCAAGGGTGAGTTGGGGTCCAGGGGCAGAGCCCAGGTATTTACCCAGCATGCACTACTCCATCCCACCTGAATCTGCAAGCAGCCCTACCCTCCATGTATCACCTTCAGGAGAAAGTCCCAGACTGATCTGCTCCCACCACCTCCACCAACCTCATTTCCTACAGCTTCCCTTTTGAACCTTCTCTCTGTCACACTCCTGTGTCCTTGCCCGTGAGGACCCCTCTGCCTAGAATGTTTGTTCTCCCTGTTGTCAAACTCCTATTCATCCTTGAGAACTCAGTGCAAAAGCTTCCTCCTCCAGAAAGCCTTCTGTGCTTCCCTTTGGACACCCTGCAGCTGTGACTCTCCCTCTTCCCTACCCGACACCTGAGGAGGGGGTGGGGGTATCTGTGTCTGGCTCTGCCTCCTCCAGCTGGGGGCTCCTGGAGAGGAGGAGGGAGCAGGGGGACTATTTATTGAGTAAATGAAGGAATTCATATAAATGAATGAGTGTCTCTCTCATTACAAATATAAGGAGGTGGGCTCCATTGTCTTGGGGTGTGTGGCTATGAGATTTGGAGACTAAATGATCCCTGTTCCTGCCATGGTCCCTGCCTGTTGCCTTTGCACTGAAACTTGGAGAGAACCAATAGTCAGGCCAGGTGTGGTGTGGGCATCTGTGGGTCCAGGGGAGCTACAGAGTCCTGAGCGCTTCCTGTGTGCCAGGCCTTTACCCCACAGTCACGAGTCAGGTGGGTTCCCGGACTCCCACTTCACAGATGAGGAAGCTGAGGGATGGTGGGAGCCCATGGTGTGCCAGAGTCAACAGGGAGTTGATGGAGGGCCTGGCCCACCCAGCTCCCTCTCTGACGAGAGGCAGAGGTATCCCTCCCCCAACCCAAGCTCTCCCACTCCCAAGAAATCCAGTTTTCAGAATCGTCTCATTTGTCCATCATCCTCGCATCTCTGGGGAGCTTCCTGAGCATTCTCCTCCTGGGCATCCTTGGGTACTTCAGCCTGAACAGGTAACTCACAACCTCTCCCTGACATGATCCCCTGACAATAGCTATAGTAATAGCTATAGTAATAGCTATAGTAATAGTGATAGGGATAGTAATAACACTCACACCAAGTAGGGATTTGTGCTCACTTTACAGATGAGGAAGCTGAGGCCCAGATGGTCAGGCCTTCCAGCAGTGGGGGCAGAGCTAGGATGTGACCCTAGGTCTGTCAGACTCCTGCACTACCCTCCCCAATCCACATCCTCACTACCTTTGTAACCTAATGAAGGTGAAGAAATAAGTCAGAACGATGAGACAGGAGGAATAGATAGAAGCACTGATCCTCTGACTGGCTCCCCTCTTTCCAGAGCCTTGCCGCACCTGTGCCCGCCCCTGCCCACACCTTATGCCAGCACTGCTGTGGAGTTTCCTGGAAGCCAGGGGAAGCAGGTAAGGGCTTCTTTTCTAATTCTAGGTCCTATTTATTGGGTCTATACTCTGGGCAACAGCTCTGCTGAGTAATGGCCATGTATTAGCTCATTTTATTCTCCCCCAACTCACTAAGGCAGGGAATACAAAACCTGTCCTATTTTACAGATAGGCAAGCAGAGGTCCAAAGAGAAACCTCCTGTGGGACATTTCCTAGCAGCAGAAACAACTCAGAGTGACTTTAACCTAAAGGGAACCTGATGGGGGAAAAATAACCCCCGTGTGGTGGGCTTCTGGTATGCTGGATCCAGGAACTATGGATTTATGTTTCTGTGCTGCTGTCCTCCCTACAGGTTTCTCTCCCAGGCATGCTCAACCTTTCCCCATGGAACAGAATGTCCATTTTCCCCATTAACTGGAGCAAAACTCTCAGGGCCATCACTGATTGGCCCAACATGGGTCACATGCCCATCCCTGAGCCTGTGGCAGAATCCAGGAGGATGGAGTGCTCTGATTGGCTGGGCCAGGGTCACATGCCCAATTTCATCAACTATGAGGAAAGCAGGGGCAATTTCCCAAACAGAAGTGGGGGTCATTCCAATGGCTCTTCAAATTGGCCTCAAGTTTTAGAGAATTAAGCCAGTAGGGACCTGGTCCACACTATCCTTATGTGGATGGGAAATAGGGCCCTGCCCACAGCCTCACTCTGTCCTCCCTCTCCAGGCTTGGCAGTGGGCCAGCCCAGCAGACTTCCTGGAAGAGGAGGAAGAGTCCCTGAAAGAGGGCCTGGTGATGATGATGCCCTGTGAAAAAATCAAGGTGGCTGATCTGGACACAGTCAGCCCTCTCAAAGACAAGACAGAGCTGCTTCAGGGCACCCCTGAGCCAGCCCTAGACACAGAGCGGCCGTTGGAGGACAGGAGACAGGTGCACAGACACTCTCAGGCCAGGGTTCTGGGGCCCAGTGGGCAGGACAGTCTGGAGGGCAGCCCTACCCAGGTGGCTGGACTGTCTCTGCACCTGGGAAATTAAATGCAGAGTCCCAGGTCCGATGGTCCTTCACATATGGGCCTGGAGGCCTGAAGGAAAAAAGAGAATGTCCACCTCATCTTATGGACTGAAAGACTGATACTGAAATCACAGCAGCTGGTTATTAAATGCTTATTGTCTACCCAGCCTGTTCTGTTCAGACACTTGCATGATGCCTGAGGTACATCATTGTCCTATTTTACTACTTTACAGACGTGACAACTGAGGCACAGAGAGGGCAAGTGGCTATTCCGAAGCCACACAACATGGGCGAGAGTCAAACTGTGGCCAAGTGACCCATACCCCCTTTCCACCTCCCAGGTTCTGGCACCATTGCCCCTCTCCCCACTCTATCCAACACCTGTTGCCTGACATCCTGTGAGGGGAACCCTAAAAACCTCCATGAAACAGAAGTTGCTACACCAGCCTGGGCCTGATATTAATGGGACAGGGACAGGCACTGTCATTGGCCTGTCAGGGTGGAATAGACAGGAGGGTGGCCCAAAGGAGTCTAAGCTGATCCCAGGGTCCTGGGATAGGTGTGCTGTCTCAGGAGCGCTGGGTGGGGAGTCACTGAGCTCCCCGCTGCACTGCAGGGTCTCCAGGCTCAGAGGACCTAGGTGAGAGGAAAAGGAGGGGGCCTCCAACATCTGGGGGAGATGATGGCCCCTTTCTAGCCTCAGTCTCCTCCCCTGTAAGATGGGAGTAGTGATAATATAGACCTCACAGAGCTGTTGGGGGAGTCTAAGCCTTAATAAATGAACCTTCTCTTGGGATCCTGCCCCGAAGCCTGAATTTCCCCTCAAAATCCCAATAGGAACCCCAGAATTCATTTATTTATTCATTCATTCCACATGCACTTATTAATCTTCTTTTCGGGGTTCCCCCATGAGTACCTCCTCTTGGGGAGACACAGCTGGATGATCACTCTGTAAAGTCAGGACTGGACAAGGGGAGGGATGGCCCCAGGGGGAGTGAGGCTCTGTTTCTCCCCTAACAGGAGCCTTGGTTCACCCCACAGCACCACTGTCCCCTCTCCGGAGTCGGTCCACCCTCCACCCCCAGGTCAGGACAGGATCTGGGGTTCCTCTCTCTTCCTCACACCCTAAGCCCTGCAGCAGGACCCATGCCACCCATCCTTGTACACATCCTGAACCCGCTTCTTGACCCCTCCTGGCCCGGCCCCTCCTTATCTTTGAGTCGTCGCGCATTCACACCATGGCCACCAGGAGGCAGCAGCGGCGCTTGTCGTTGTCTCTCAGGCCCCGCCCACATCTCCTCCTCCCACCGACCTCCCATGGAGTTTGCAAAATAGACTTTTCTAGTTTAAAAGAATGAGGCGGGGGCTCTGACCATTTTGATTCAGAGGTTGGAGCGTGGGGCCGAGGTCCAAAGAGTCAAAGGTTCGATTCTGGTCAAGGGCACTACGTTGGTTGCGGTTCGTCTGGGGCCCTGGTTGGGTTGTGCGGGAGACAACCAGTAGATGTGTCTCTGGCACATAACAGTTTCACTCTCTCTTTCTCCCTCCCACTCTATCTGATGATGGAAAAAGTATCCATGGGTGATGATTAAAAAAAATAAAATTAAAAAATGAATTGATAGGAGGGGCAGAGATGGAAACTCAGAACCACTGAATTTTATGGCAAAAGGAGATGAGGACAATAGGTGAAGGATGTCAGGGAGCCAGTAAGGTTGCTAGGCAAGAGGTTCAGGTCCTGCCTATTTGGGGGGGCCTCACTTTCCCATTTATGCCTCTAGATGGGGGACACAGAGGCCTTAGTCCCTGTGCTCCAGTTACCCATGGCCGTTCACTGCTCTGTCCTTGGATTTGCCACCTCCCAGCTTTTGCACATGCCTGCCCTCCACCAGGCATGCACTCACTGAAGGGACCACCTCCTCATTCCTTAGGGCTGAGCTCCAACCTGAGAAGGTGGTCCAGACAGTGGTAGGGCCAAATAGATAGACAGGAGAGGATACTGGGCCAGTAGCCCCATGGGAAAGACCAGAGTGGCCTGATTCCCCTCAAATCTAGAACCCTCCATCCCCACTCCTCACAGTGGAGCCTCCAGGGAGCGAAATGCCCCCTGTGCCGGCAGTCTCAGTCTTGGGCCCACCCAGTAACACAGGACCCAGTTTGACCACAAACTTACCCCTAGGCACAGCCCTTTGGATTCAAGGAGCAGGAGTTAGATATTTATAGAGTACTACCTAGAACTCTTGCTGAAGTGAATGGAAAAAGGAATACCCTACTTCCATGGGGGAAGGCAGAGCCTGTCTTGGAGAGAAAACTGCAGGGAGGAGGACAGCAGTACAGAAAGATGGATCCCTAGTCCCTGGATCTAGCCATGCCTGAAGTCCACCACCTTAGGATGTTTTTCATCAGGTTCCCTTTTTGTTTTTATTTTTTATCCTCACCCAAGGACATTTTTGCATTTATCTTCAGATAGAGCAGGAGGGAGAAAGGGAAGGAGAGAGAGAGAGAGAGAAACATCGATGTGAGAGAAACACATTGAGTGACTGCCACCCACACGACCCCAAATGGGGCCGAAGACAAACTGCAGCCAAGGTACATGCCCTTAGCGGGAACTGAACCCGGGACTCTCTGATCCGTGGACCGATGCTCTAACCACTGAAAAACTGGCCAGGTCAGTTTCCCTTTTTGTTGAAGCCGCTTTGAGTTCTGTTTCTGCTGTGAAGAACTGACTCACAGGAGGTCCCTCTCTGGGCCTCTGCTTGCCCATCTGTATAATAGGAAGGAGTTCAGAGCACTGATTGTGCTTAGCAGAGCCCTGATCCAGTGTTTATTGAGCACCTGCTGTGTACTCATTAACCTGGGCTCTTCTGAGTGTTAATCCTTCAGCTCCTCCCAGTAGATCCAGAGTCAAGACTGTGGTAGACCTCATTTCAACAGCATTGATTCAAGGAGTCATTGTTGAGCACCTACTGTATATCAAATCCTGTCCTGCACAGTTCCCATCTTGAGGGGCTCCTGGTTGGGTGGGGAAGGCGGCTACTAATCTAATCATCATACAGAGTTATAATAAACCTCAGAAGAGTGAGAAATTAAAGCATGAAGAACGGGTGTAAGGAAGGGATTCCTGGAAGAGATGGTGATAGGGCCAAGAAGAAGAGAGGCCTGAACAGCCCTGGCCGGTTTTGCTCAGTGGTTAGAGCATCGGCCCATAAACTAGAGAGACCCAGGCTCAGTTCCAACTAAGGGCACATACCTGGGTTGCAGTTTGTCCCTGGCCCTGGTTGGGGGTGGGGTTGGAGTTGTGTGGGTGGCAACCAGTCGATGTGTCTCTCTCACATGGATGTTTCTTGCTCTCTCTCTCCTCCTCCCTGTCTCGCTCCCGCTCTATCTGAAGATGTATGCAAAATGTCCTCTGGTGAGGATAAAAAAAAATAAAAAAAAAACAAGAAGAAGAAGAGGCCAGAACAGCAAGATAAAAGCTCTGAGGCAGGTGTGTTTGGTAAAAATGGGTGAGGGGGAGATAGAGGTCACAGCTCATGGGCTGGGGGTGGGAGGCTATGGGTTTATTCTTCAGCTAGGGGCGGCAGTGTCCTGGAGCAGGGCAGTCGAAACTGGATTTGTGACTTGTCTAGATTCTTCCTGCTGTGTTCAGTCCAGAGCAGGTGACTCAGCTTTGCTGGCCTTGGTGTTCTGGCTGTAAAATGGGTAAGGTGACCACTCCAGAGCCCTTGCCCACTTCTCACCTCCTCAATTCTGTCTGTCTTGGGCTGATGCTCCCTTTCACCATGGTCCCCACTGTAAGTCAGGAAGCTTGTCTCCACCAGGGAGACAGGCTGCCTCAGTTTACCTCCCAGATACCTCCCTCCTGTCTCTCTGGTGGCTTCTGGGTTTGGTCAGAAAGAAAGGTTGTCTTTGCCTCTACCCTCGAGCCAGGATGAGGCTGGGATGTCAGGGGCCTTGAAGACTATGGGCCATAGGAGATGACAGACAGCCCTTGCCTGGCCTCGCACGCGTCCAGCCTGCACCGCCCAGATGCCAGGAAGGCCCTCCCCCCAACTGAAGGCCTTTCCCCAGTCCCCTCCCCTTCCTTTTTTAATGTTTTTAAGAGTATATATATATTCACATACCATACAAGTCATCCTTTTAAAGTGAACAGTTCAGTGGCATTTAGTACATTCACAATGTTGTGCAACCATCTCCTCTATCTAGTTCCAGAACATTCTGTCACCCCAAAGGAGACCCTGTCATCATGAGCAGTCACTTTCCATCTCTCTCCCTCGGCCGCCGACAGCCACCGGTCTGTTTCCTGTCTCTATGGATTTGCCTCTTCTGGCCATTTTGTATAAGTGGGATTATACACGGTGCGGTTTTTTTGTGTCTGTTCTTTTGTGAAGGAAACTCAGCATGGAGTTTTCGAGGTTCACTCATGTTGGCGTCAGTGCTTCAGTCCCTAGATGCCGAGTAATATTTTGCTGTGCGGATGTGTTACTATTTATTTATCCATTCATTTGTCGATAGATACTTGGGTTATTTCCACCTCTTGGCAATTGTGACCAGTGTTGCCGTGAACATTTCGTCCAAGTTTTGGGGTGAATGAGTTTTCGTTTCTCTCGGTCAGTACCTGGGAGTGAGACTGCTGGGCCCTGTGGTGACTCTGTGTAACTCACCGGGCAACCACCAGGTGGTTTTCACGTTCCATCGACAGGGCACAGGAGAATCCCGGTGCTCCGCTCCTCACCAGCACTGGTATGCCCCATGTTTTTGAGTCTAGCCATCCTAGTGGGTGTGAGGTGATGTCTTTGTGCAGTTTGATTTGCATTTCCCTGGTGACTAATGACACTGAGCGCCTTTTCGCGGGCATCCCTACCGCTTGCATATCCTCTGGGTAAATGTCCATGCGAATCCTTTGCTCACTTTTCATCTGGTTATTTATCTTTTTATTATTAAGTTATAAGTGTTCTTTATTCTGGATATCAATGCCTTGTCAGATATATGATTTGCAAATACTTTCTCTCATTCTGAGGGTTGTCTTCTCATTCTCTTAAGAGTGTCTTTTGTAGAAGAAAAGTTGTAAATTTGATAGAGTCCAACTGATGTATTTTCCTCTGGTCGCTTGTTCTTTGTCATGGCTAAGA